GGCAGAATAGTTTTCAAATATATTAAATGACATTTCGTCTCTATTTCTGGTTATACACTCGATGGGTTGTAGATCTCATTTCCTTGATTACAGATAATGTTAACAACTCTATTTAGCTGAAAATGTGGTTACGATAGTTATGATGAGAGCAGAATGTGTGTTAGCCCTAAAAAAATATTCAATAATAATGGCCTCTGGAAGGCTTTAAATTATTATTACTGCACTCGATAAACCCCACGCTTGGCATGGGTGTAAAATTATTAGTATTTAAAACAAAATTTCAGATCTCTTAAATAGTCTTAAATAATTTTTTTAACGAAATATAACGAAAACATTTATTTGTTTGTTTGTAAGCGGTATCTACTTGTTTTGGCTACTGTGAACTAGCAACCGGTTTTGACAACTTTACTGGATGAAGAAAAAATCATTTATATAGCATCTCGTTTATTAAATAAAAATGAACCAGATGCTATATAAATGACGCAAGCAATTTTTTTCTTCGTCTTGTAAAGTTATCAAAATTGAGATAGTACCGGTTGCCAGTTCACAGTCGATAGTTTCCCGAAGTGGTCGCTACCGCCTCCAACGGGCGATTAAAGACCTCGAAAGCAATTGATGCTGTCCAGGGGGTAGCACCCCAGCATTTGAAAAAAAAACGTGAATTGTCTATTAAGTACATTACATATAATATACATATATTTTTCATTGTGATTTTTTTGTGTTAATGTAAAATATGCGTGTTTTCAAAAATTTTTTGTAGTGATTGCGTTGAATTTTTTTATCTCCCAAGTGGAGCCAAAAAATTTAGTTACCCATGGGCTATAGTGTCAAATGTGGTGTAAAATACGCTAACGAAATTACGCCCGTGTACTATTAAATATCCGACAACATTACATACGTTCTGATCCCAAAGTAAATAACTACATCACTTGTACTATGGAAATCACAAACAACTACCACAAATACCCACACCAGAAAAGTTAGTTTTCTACATTGACCCGGCTGGGGATCAAACCCGGGTCCTCAGAGATAGCGACCTCAAGAATCACAGCTCGACGTTACCCACTGCTGAATATAGGTCTCTCGTACTTTGTGCCATCCACTACGACTGGCGATGTCGTCTACTCATCTCTAAGAGTATATAATAATGAAGTACTCTTAATAGTCGAAACTACCTCATTTCGAATTTTACAACCGTACAAATAAGGTTCACTTTATTCCGGTCTAATTGATATTTTTACAAACGTAATTGATATATTTACGTATGCTATTTGGTTCAGTTGATATTTTAAAAAATCATTGGTATATGTAAAGTACGTATTTAATACAGCAGTTTTCTTGTTAAATTTCGAAGCAAGTTTGTTTTTTTTTTCTATCGTGAAAATTTTTATGAATCGTGTTTTCACACCACATATATCCTCAATTTTACTATATAATTTTTCCAAAAAGACTTAACATCGCGACTTCTAAGTCCATGCCTGTTTAATCCAGGACCACATCTGACCTGCTTTGTGGTACAAATGGAACGGTCCCTAGCTGGGCAGATTCTGCATAGATAACTAACCCTGCTACCAGTAAAATAATAATTATAACTATTTTGACAATGTATTAATCTCATGGTTTAAGTTTTTGCACACCTGCTTCGAACCAACGCCTTCAGCATACCGTGGCTGACGCGTTCCCAATTGAGCTACGGAACGACTACGTGTCGCAGGGGGTGATTCACGTAATCGAACTAAATGTCAAATTTCACAATCCAAGATGTCGTTAATTAGTCGTTATGTTTCGATTGTACTCTATCAACGTTCGTTCAAGTGATACGTCAACACCCATTTTTGATATGACTTCGATCTAACGACTACGTAACTTCAACGATATTTTGATAGCTTGAACTTACGTGAATCGCGTTAATATTTCTTTGTTCTCAATTCGACTGCGTTTTTTTTTATGTTGCGTGATAGCTCGGCATTTGTGAACCGATTTTCATGATTCTTTTTTTGTTGGAAAGAGGGTACCTCAGAAGTGGTCCCAGTTAAATTTGAAGAAAATATTCCACCTCTAAGGGTGGCAAACTAGGCGATGAATGACTTTTGAAGTCCTTTTTTTAGTTCTCAGCACTAATATTATTAACGGTTTTAATCGGCGCAAGCCGATACGCGTTAATAAGTGTGGTGATTCCCTTAGAGTGATCAAAATTATATAAATCACCATTTAGGACAAAAACGACCTTAAAACAAGGGATTCAAGGTGCGCTTTCCCGTGGTTTTCAATTTAAATCCCAAATTCGCAGCTACTTTAAAGCATCTCAACGCTGCAGTCAAATTAGATGTCTAAATATTCTTCCTCAGTGTATTCGCTCAGAACATTATGTATACCATGACTTCACATTAAATATATAGTGCACAATATTCTTGAAATTTGAAAAATAAACAAATTGGAATTGTAGTGGTTTCTTTTATTTTATTCCCTTCTACGTTCGAGCGTAGGCCACTCGGCCAAAGCTCACAAGCTCACGTAGTTACATGCAACGCTAACCTAAGAAAACATATGTGAAGGTTCATCTTCGGATTACGTAAAGAATAATGGCTAAATCATAGTTATTTAATAGAATTCGTTAGCGTCTTCAAATGTTAATTACAAGTGTGAATAAAATAAACTACAATAGCGGTCTAAGGGTCGTATTCCAGAACTCTACTCAACGCTCAAGTCAGGACTTGAGTATGGTTCAAAGCACTACAAAACATACTCAAGCTTAAGTACTTCAATCGAATGCTTATCTTTGACGCCTCTTTGGACCTCTTTGCATGCTCGGAAGCCCCTTTTACGGTTTCCGCGGGACGATATCTCGAGTCATTGACCATGGACAGTAGCATCACATAAGTATTGTGCATCCTGAATAATTAATACTATGTTAATGTTTTAAAATTTGATTGTTAATAATGTAATGTCCAATTCCATGATTTGTTATTTTTATCTAATTTTTTATTCAGTTTATTTCATGCAATATATAAAATTCAATTATTTGTAAATTTTCATTCAATTTATTTTGTATCTATTCTTTATTAAGTATGATTACATTATTATTTCAATATATGATATTAGCTTAAGAATTACTATTGTGTTTGGATATTAATCTGTAAGCAATATGTAATAAATATGTAATAAATAAATCAAGTTCTCGCCATTAGGGTCGTATTTCCAGTGCTTGAAATCATATTTAAGTCTGCTCAAATCCTGACTTGAGCATTGAGTAGAGTTCTGGAATACGACCCTTATAGTCTGGAAATAAACTCATATTAAAGGAGACTCTAATGACTAATTCGGACTGATATCTACAACTGTCAGTTTCGCACTTAACGTAGAGCGACATCTAGCCGCCAAAAGAAGAAATTTCAGTAACTACTTACGGATATGGTCCACATTTAGCTCACGTAATATCAAATGTGCTAATTCGACCGATTTGTAATAAGCTAATAATGGATTAACTACTTCATTACAAAAAATAAAGTCGATAATTTCTTAAAACTGACAAAAAGTTCTCAAAACAGTGATAGATGGCATGTTTCACAAAAAAATAATGTGTCCGTGCAATAGTCTGTGGTATGTTATTAACTCAGTTTTTTTGTTATGGCTTACCTACACACCTTTTGACATACCAGTATACAAAATAATTTCCTCTGCTTCTGTAGTTTATTTTGATAATAATACACCGAATATATTTCACTCAATTACGTAACACATAACCTCCAACGCTTCAAACTATATTCCATCTTTAATTACAGACTTCTCAGAATAGTAGGGAAACCAAATAAGCAAATCCTTCAAATAAGCAAATCCTTTTGGTCCCTGGCCAAACCGGTCGAGTCTAACTTTTGTCGCCCGTCTTTGCCACCTCTACTAAGACCGGATGGTTCGCTGGCTCATACTGCGGAAGAGAAGGCGAATCTTTTTCTTTCACTCTTTCCAGAAATCTGCGAAATCTAGACTTGAATAAAGCTAACCAGATTGAATTCCAGCAATAGCTCTGCGTAACTGTGCGCCTGAGTTGTCTCCTGTTCTCACACGCCTGTACCACGTCTCACTTGAGACTGGTGTAGTTCCCAGGTCGTGGAAGCTTGCAAACGTGCAACCTATGCCGAAAAAGGGAACCAGAGCTGACCCTGACAACTATACACCTATCTCAGTCACTTCCTTACTCGTGTACTCAATAACCTCTCCTATTGTACCTTGAAGACAACTACCTTCTCAGTGATCGCCAGTACGGATTCCGACGAGGGCGATCTTATGTATGCCTGTCACATATGTAGCAAGGCTATAGAAAAGCAAGGCGAAGCACTCGCAGTGTCTTTGGATATTTCTCAAGCCTTTGACAGGGTCTGGCACGCATGCCTTATAAGTAAGCTTCCCTCTTATGGGCTTCCCACTGACCTTTGCAATTGGGTCTCGGAATTCTCGAGTGAACCTTCGATTCGAGAGGTCTTAGAAGGCTTACTCTTCGGAACATATGACGATAGATTCCACAGTGTTCCGTACTGTGTGTAACTCTCTTTCTGCTGCATATCAAACCTACTTTCGAAGCAGGGTTGTTGATGATGCAGGTTTTTTACATATCAGTTGATGAATGTGGAGAATAAAGTACCTGTAGATATAATATAGGTTTTATTTAGCAAAAATAAAGTTACATCTTCAATCTTATTATAAATAGCTCCATAGCAACGTCATAGATAAATCCTAGATACCACTACTACACTAATGCAGATTCTGATTTTGTCTATTTCGTATCCTTACGGAATTTTCCTGCATGAAAAAGCTTTCGATTTCCTTTGGTGTTGTAATCAAATATTATTACAATGATTTAGTGACATTTAAAACACAAGGATGGAATTTCTTCAATGAAAACCCGTAATTTTTAACGTTTTATGTTATTTTGAATCTTTTTAAAGAAAACGATACACAGTAGGTATTACATTATACAGAGTAATGTAAAGTAGGTACACAGATATTATTAAGTCTGGTAGCGATGGTCGAATGAAGAAAGTTGAATGTTTGTAATCTACTTATCAATTAAAAGCAAAAAAATTACTTAATAAAAAAATTTAGCGATTACTTTGTTGAATGACATTGCCATTATATTTACGTCAGGCGTCAAAATATATATAAAAAATTTTTAAAACTGGTAATGTTACAAAATATATATTTTTTTTTTCATTATATTACAATGGTAAATTTATGTTCATTAGTTTTTAAGCTTCTCAGTGCTTTATTCTTCTTTCCCTCAATGCAAATTCAGCCTCGTGAGAACGGTGAACGCGAGTTTGTTTCCAGTCGGTAAATTCCGCGACTTCTGCAAAAAAATACGACAAAAATATATAACTAATATTAACGCAAACAACCCTTTTCTGAACTGTAGTTACAAAAACTATTAATTTAACTAAGGGTAGTTAAAACCCATTATACAATTTTAGGTAACAACATTTATTTGTCTATTTATTTAATCAGGCTCTCATAACAATGAGTACACTATAACTATGCAGGTATACAGTATACAGACACTGTGGTTTTAAACTAAGTGTCCCACTACTTAGAGGAGGGCACAGAATGCACTAAAGGAAATACAATAATATACAATACAAATTAGATTAACTTCACACTGGTACTCCTTATGCAGTGTTATTGCTTGTGATAAGAAACAATGTAGCCTCAAATTTATGGAAGAGCCTAGTACTACCAGACCTCGGCAATTATCGCAGGATAAGGAATTCTATTCCATTAGACCAGGGCAATCAATAATGCCTAAGACAATTCTTTTAATAACGGTCAGATCAATAACTTTTCTACGGGTTTCTAGTGTAGCCATCCTAAAATGTTTCAAATGATTCTCATATGATGCAAGTGTAGGTTAAATGCCACACAAACCTTTTCTACAACAATGCGCTGAATGTGTGTATTGTAGGTAGGTGCCCAGACCACACTGCAATATTCCCAGTGGCTTCTTAACTATAGTTCAAAATAGGTTGGTTTGTACCTCTATATTTTGTTCTACTACTGAACTTTAGTCTATCAATTATAATTTCATAAACAAGCCGAATTGAGACATAAGTTGACAAGTCCCATGTGTCTGTAATTTCACCAGCAACCTTACCCTTCAACACCGGAACGCAGTACTGCTGACATTACTGCTTGGCAGCAGAAATAGATGTAAGGTGGCAAGTACATCCCTGGACGAACTCTTTCACAATTCTACTGCTACGCACTAAATTCTATTGTCTATGGCACTCGCTACTGAATAAAATTATACAATTAAAATTAAAACGTACATTTAATTAAGTTTTATTTTGAATTATATTATTTTGTCACTTATATTCCAGTGACCGAAAAATAAGCGTATCTCTTTAAATCAACGCATTGTAGTTCTCTGTATCACATAATACGTCCATCCTAAGAATAGAATAGAATAGAATAGAATAGAAACCATTTATTGTAACGCCACATTATAAAAAAAACTCAAAAACAAAGACTAATATAACTAGAACAGAAATAACACAAAGAACAGCATAAAAACATTTAAACAACGTATTACATAATACTATACTGACATGTGTGCGGCTGTGGCGTGTACAAAAGGAACGCATTCAGCTAAAGTCACAACCAAGGCTAGGTTGTGACGCTGGTTTTCAATGGGCCCTAGCCGAGTGAGTGAGAGTGACGGACGTATGCGTCCCGGAACAGATAATAAAATAAAATAAACTACGTAAATACTTAATCATGAGTGTGTATAGTGTTATTGCAGTGTGTACTCTTATATCGAATAAATACTTACATAATCTTTGCAATATATACATACAGGTATAAGTGTGTGTAGTATGAAAACAAATTAATAAAATATTTAATACATATTTAAACTACATTACTTCAAATATATTAAACAAGATTATCTATTTTCGTAAAATAACAGTTCTTTGATTTCAACATTAAACAACTATTGTTCTAACGCAGTTACTATTTCGAAAAACTCGCACCTCTCATCGAAGGATGGCATAAATGGAGTTACGTCAAAAATGTTTATTGCTCCATTAGATACAGAAAAATATAACCCACATCCTCTCCAATACTTTGTAACTCTAACGACTAATATTGTCAATGAATGAATGAAATATTCTTTATTGCACATAAAATTGCAATAAAAATACAATACAATAGCTTAAGTATAATAGTAAGTTAATGTGCAACAGGCGGCCTTATTGTTATGTAGCAATTTATTCCAGGCAACCTTAGGATAGACATTTCGGATATGCAAAGAAAAAAAATTTATATTGATAGACGATATATATATAAATTAGTTAGTAAATTCTCCAATTGGAGAGTATGTAGGTTACATTGTTCTGTGTCTAATCTACAAGCATGTTTGACGTAATTTCGCTTATGCCGTTTTTCCATGAGGGGTGCGATTTTTTTATCTTTTACTTAATTTGTATTTTTGTTTAGTAATATAATAGTAATTAATCGTGAGTCAAACCGTGACCATGGGACTTGTAAAGGGCCCGAAACGTCTGTTTGTTTGAAAAAACAAATATACGCGATTTAAATCCGGAAAAATAGTTTCATTTCCTAAATATAATAGTTATAAATGATATTCGGAAGACCCCTGGGTCAAAGCAAAATGTATTGTGCAACTAACAGCGACTTTGCCAGGGGTTTTACGTTAATTCCCCAATTACGGATAAATATCATTGGCAAACACTCAATATTATCTGCCTGCCTAGCTCATTCCCAACAGGTATAGACTGTCACGTCTGTTCACGATACTGTGATACTGATACTCTTTGATAAAATTCAACACTAAAATAAAACAATGTCACTATTTATAATGTTTTGTTTGAAACATGTAGTTGCTGCGAATGTTCTTGTCTATAGATTGAAGTCGTTGGTTGACATAATGTTACAGTTTGACTAGAAATATAATAATCTCAGTACAGAGTACTAAAAAAACCGACCTCAAAAGTACGTGGAATTACGTCTATTTGCTAAGTTTTATTGACATATCCCCTGGTTCGCCACTATACAGGACTTGACACTGGAGATAATAATAATCTCACTACTCAAAACATATTGAGAGAAAAAACGCCTTGAATGGAAGAAATAGCAAAATCAACCATTAGGGTAATTGCTCCTAAATTAAAGTTAGGCGCTATTTATAAAAATGAATCTTCATGTGTAAACAGCCACCCTTCGAGGTGGATGATTTTCTTCAAAGTGAAATGGAAGTACCCCCTTTCCAACAAAAAAAGAATCATGAAAATCGGTTCACAAATATCGGAAAAAAAAGAAAAAAAGAACATACAGTGGAATTGGGAACCTCCTCCTTTTTTTAAGTCGGTTAAAAAAGAATCTTACCCGGTCTTTGGCGCTATGCCACCCATCCGCAGGTTGCCCCACATGTAGCAGAGGTTAGACATGGCTCCTGCATACGTGGCGCAGCGACGACCGGTAAAACCTCCGCTGACCAAGGACTCGGCGAAATAGAAGAACGATCTGGAAAAATAAGTCACCAATTCATTTAAAGGGCCAATGTACGTGTCGCAATTCGTAATCATCGAGTGTACAACCAGAAATAGAGACGAACTAAGGGCCATCCGTCAATGGCAACTAATCAGAATAATGGGCCATATTATAATTGTAAGTCAATGATTCCATAGGTAAACTTTTTACACTTTAAAACGTCATTTTTTAAGCTACTGCTTGTTCACTACGCTGACCTCCCTGAAAAGAACGAGTAAGAAACTCTAGGGATTCCTCTTTTCAAATAAACTGCTATGGAATCACAGACATATATATGTGTATGGAATACACTTTGAATCATAATTGTGTGGAGTCTAGACTCTTGTTGTCGTTCCATACTTTATCTAAAACATACTCTTCAATTTTGTAATATGACGTTCCAATTAAAATACTTTTAATTTAAGTTTTAACCTTAGGAAATGACAATCTTAATATATTCTCCGGAATCTTATTGTAAAAACGTATACAGTTCCCCATAGAAGAATCGCTTACCTTTGTTAAACGAAATCGTGATACCATGAGTTGGGACTTGCTTCTAAGGTTAATAATTATGGATAGGTATCTTCCTTCTTAATTACATTATATGTATTTTATGTTTCTCCCCTCATTCATTCCCAAACCCACAAATTTTAATACGATTTTAAGTCTTGTGGATACGTCTTGCATCAATGTTCTTTGTGATTATGTAACTAGCAATGACATTAATTTATAATTTGTTCATCCTGCCTAACATACCCACTAACATTTGTCTATATATATTGTTCTCTGTCCCTTTTAGGTAATTCAACAGCTCTGCAGCTTTAAAATATAATAAGTATTTTTATATCACATTTTATCAAATTATATCACATTTTATCAAATTATATAACATTTTATCAAATTATATCACATTGTGCTCTCACAATACTCACTGAATAGCAAAGTCTACTGAAGCCCTTAAAATTACTAAGCGGAAAACTCGATACTGGTGAAATCTAAAGGATAGCACCATTAGGCAAAAAGAAGAAAAAGAAGGAGTTTTGTTTTTCACATGGCACCATTAGAATTACTTTAAAATTCAACTTCGACTTCCTAAGTGGTTTTGTCCTGCAGTATAACCATTTCCGGAAATCCGGAATTCGAAAAAAGTAATTAATATTTGGTGGTATTAACTATGTCACTCCTTGTAGTATCTAATGTATCTGTAGGTTTGGAACGCCTTTTTCCGATCATTGCTTATTATACAACACAAACAACGAAAAGATTCTAGTAAGGCTACGATACACACCTTTCTTGGTCGCAAGTTGCACCGTTGCAACCAGGCATATTCACTCCGCCGTTAGGGTAAAAGTCAACGTGACCCAAAGTACCTAGATAACCATTGATGCCAGCGTTTGTGTGGATTATTTCGGTGTAAGAGCCGTCGTCGGGTCTGAATTTATGGCTGTTTATTATCCAGAGATAGAACGATGGGTCCAGACCTAGGGGCAAGAAGACAAATAAATGTGGTAGACAAACAAACTTGAATTAAGATGACAAAAAATGTTTTGCTTTAAAAAAAATAAACAACTTCAAAAATACGTCACGACAATCGTGTGTGTCATTGTTTGGGCTGGTGGTTGCGGTGTATATTTATTGAAAACATACGTATATTGGTAGTACGGAGGGTATTTATTTAGCAATGCAGAATAATAATTTTTATTTATAAAAACTTGTATTTAGTTTAAATTAATTTTTCGCAAATTAGAAAAGCATTAATTAATTTTTTAAATTAATTAATGCTTTTCTAATTTGCGAAACCAAGTAGCCGCCATTTTGCGGTAGGAGGAGCGCATCGCGTGAGCGGTTGCTAACGAGTTTTGTCAAGCGCTTTGTCATCGTCATCATCATTACCATCATCAACCCATTATTCGTCTAACGTGACGCTCCCTCTCCATGTTATCATTGTCTTTGACGTCAGGCTTAATTTAATGTCCTAGATACCTAAATTTAAACACTCTATACATACATCACTTAGGTTGCTCCGACAAAGTAAATAAAGCACTTGTGTTACGGAAATCGGAAACAACAACGGTACCACAAACACCCAGACTCGACACAATATAGAAAAGTTAGTTTTCCAATATACATTGACACGAACGAATCCGAATCCGGAACCACACAGATGGCGACATTATGAAAACCGGTGTGCAAGCCGTTAGTGCGTTGGTGTACCAAAAACCAACTCGAAAATCTCACCAGTGATGTACGCCACATCTCCATCAACGTTTCTCCCCACGATGCCAGCCTGGTGTCCACCAAGACCATATCCCACTATGTGGTAGCTCCCGGCTGTAACACCCGCCGCCTGGTTCAACCAGTTTATGAATCTGGCTACACTTTCACCTGCAATTGTTAAATTAAGTTATTTTAATTCCAATTCAACACATTTCTTTTTTAGATATCAGGATCCATTGGTGTTAGTAAAATAGAGATAGAACTTGATTAAAATCTAAAATGCCATGTACTAACGAGGCATCTCGTGCGGAATCATTGTCCGTACGGGATGCCTCAGTACAGGCGCTCCGTGGTCCTCAGCCACAACCTTCAGGATGCTGTTGTTAATCCTCCGCCGGAGCCTTCTAACCCACGATGTTACCTACTTCTTTCTGCTAGACGGCATAAAAGCAATTCGTATGAGCCAAAGCAAACATTCCGGAGGCGAGTACCGGGGTATTCTCAACATCATCCTGAACACGTTATGATATTGGATGCGCCGTGAATTTAGCGACCTTTGGGAACACTTAAATCAAAAGCCGCCCGCGTACAGACCCTGACAATACGCTTTCAAGACTGTTATTTTGACTTGATCCGTGCAGCGGGCCAGCCTGCGGGCCAGCATATTCTCGAGTATCGCCAACGCCCTATGCTCCCTCTCGACATCGTCATCATCTTGAAAGTCGTCGGTAACAATATGTCCGAGGTATTTAAATTAATACAAATACCAAATGCAAAGAAAAGCGACCACGCAGCATTTCATAATCCTCAGAATAATATCGCTTATGTCATTGACAGCCGAAAAAATTGACAGAAAAATAAATATTGTAGAAGTGCTTAGTTTGTGTAGCACGTGTACCAACAGTTCGTGGAGTTCCGCAAACTTCAAAATCAAAGACTTGAAAAAAATCGCAGCAAAATGCCTTATTTCGCTACTAGAGTGCAAAAACGGTAGTCGCCTTTGTAATATTATCTATGATATTGTTTCGTACCATCAACAAGTGTTATTTTATTTTATTTTAATACATTTTCAATTTTCTGTTTATCGTAATGATTGTTACAGGAAACTAAAGTATATTATATCACTGCAATATGGTCGCTTCTTTTTTGGAGAACTAAGTACACTTCTTAAATTCGTCGTCGTTCAGCTATTAATCGCTAGATGGCAGCATATTGATCGAAATTTCAATATAAAATCAAAACGTCGTAACTTGTAATAACAGGTAATAACTTTCGACGATTTGCCAACAGGATAAAGTTTTAATTGTACGTCTTCTAGCTTACCGTGCCAGACGCTATACCAACTAAGCCACGGAACGAACCAACGGATCTCACGAATTCTTCTATGTGCTTGCGTCGTGTCTTTGTGTTTGGTTTTTCAACGACTTTTTAGCCGTAGCGCCATCTATGAGAAATCTATGAAAGATTTATCACCCAGTTAGTACTTTTAGAGCCGCTATTCAATGTATTTTAAATTTTTATTGAATGGTATTCAATTTTTTTTTGTGAAATTACTATACTAGTTTGTTTTAATTATTAATACAAAGATCGAACACTCGGTTTCGTTCCGTGGCTTAGTTGATATAGCGTCTGGCACGGTATGCTAGAAGACGTTCGAATCCGGCCGGATCGAAGGAATTTTTTCTGAGTGTTCGATCTTTGTATTAATAAGTATAACAAACTAGTGGAGTAATTTCACAAAAAAAAAAATGAATATCAATTCAATACAAATATAAAATTAAAATTTGTTTTTAAATTTGAAACTACGACCAATCATTATCAAGATTTCACTGTGATTTCATAGTGTTTCAAAATATGAATGTATGACTTTTGGCGACATCTAGCGGTTCTGATTGTAATCGAGGCTTTGGCATTTCCATTGTTACTTATCTTCCGTGGAAAAAAAACAATACAAAGACCTATAATAGGTACGTAGAAGTATTTCGTCAACCTGTACCTAATATAGTTGGCAGATCTAGGCTACGGAATATTCCAAGACGCAGTTTCATACTAGCTTGAAAGCAGAGCTACACACATTATTACTAATTAACGTAGAAGCAAAACGCTTCGTATTAATTATAAACAGAAAAATATCATTGTGGAATTTTGTCTGTTGTGGTTGGTCTTTGTCATGCTAATACAAATATACCAATGACATACCAGAAGTCACGGTGTTTGCGACGGAGGTTGCGAGGTTGACGCTGTTGGAGCCCAGACTCCAGTCCACAACGATCACGTTGACATCCTCTGCCGCCAGGAAAGCTGGAAATACAAATATATTTTAGTACCGGTTTCTGTACTAATGATAGGCTTCTAAGTAAATTCAGTCAAATATATCTTTTTTTCGTAAGTAAGCAAAGAGAACATTTTTATCATTGCTATAGTAAAAAAAAAAAATGATCGCCTATTCATTTTTCGTTATCAATTTGTTCAGTCTGTGATGAAATAAGAACGTCAGTTGATTGCAATTAATTCGTTTATCCATTTTTCGCGGTAATTGCTTCGGAAGTACAAAAGATGGATAAGATTAAAATTGATTTAAAATGTCACGCGGCGAATTCACAGGGACCGGCCGCGCTTCTTTGTTCATTTTCCAATAGTAAATCTCGCAAAACGTTAAATTCAAATTGTTCTTTATTTTATAGGTAAGCAACGTAAGTATATTTGAAACCGTAATTTTGATTGAACTAAACTGTGAAAGAATGAGTAAAAACCTCTTGGTGTTGCTCTTTGTAAATAGTAATTTGTTCACATTTATCATGATTACAATATGTATTTTTAAAAATATTGATTAAGACAAATATTGAAAGAAATAAACGGGCCACTATAAAATGGTAGAATAAAGTTTCTGCTTTACTATAGTTTTAAACCTCGTAAATGGCAAATTTTGAACATCAATAGGAATCTTAATAAAGAAGCGTATACAAATTTGTGACTTTGTGAAGGCAACTGTCGAGAATAACCAGTTTAAACAAGGAAGAAGTATTATTGCGGCAAATGTTTATGGACAGTGGTTACAACTTTCTATCAAGTGGATTCTCTTGGAAATGAAACTATTTTTCCGGATTTAAATCGCGTATATTTGTTTTTTCAAACAAACTTGGATTGTCTTGCTTTTTCTTGAGTTTTGATACCATAAAAATCTTGTTACGGATAGTGAAAAAATCGGGTCAAGTGACTCAAATTTGTTGTTCAATGAGGTAGATCTGATGAGACGGGTGAGTAGGAAAGGTTGGGTAAGTCGGGTGTCTAAAGTGAACCGAGTTAATCAATCAGCGGTGCGAGTCTGAAGAGACGAGTGGCTGGCGGTTTGAGTCGTTGCGTCGGTTGAATTGGGTAACTTACCAGGCACTAGCACAGCGTTTAAAGAACCCACGGCGTTGTCTTGATAACCGTGTAGGAGAACGATTGTGCGGCGATGGGGTTCGTAGTTGGTTATTGCGAGCAAGCCCGCGTTGCCAAGAAGGAGCGGCTGGCTCACGCTTGGGTTGTCCCTGAATATTAAGAATATTTAATAGGTGTCTTTGATTTCACAAATCCTACTGTTATAATAGGAAATAAGAGGCTGGAGATTGTTGACCAGTAAGTTTGTCTTGGGCATATTCTATCCTTTGATAAAGAACATAATACACACATACAAAATAAAATCACTAAACGCATAAGCCTGGTGTATAACCTAATAGTGGATCCAGTAATCTCCAGGTCAGATGACGATGTCCGTGTGCCACACAGGTACTTTCAGAAACTGTTAGTGCAGTGTATTGGCTTCCATCAGCTCAAAGACATCCATAAGCTCAAAGTGTACTTAAAGTTCTATAGGTCTCTGCGATACAAGTTTATACTTAGTGCAAGGAACGCGAGAAATCATTGGTAGATAAGAGTTATGTAACATAGTTAATATGGTGTAAATGCAAACAAATGTAATCCTATTTGCTCAATAAAGCTTATTATTATTATTATTATAGTTAATCATATATACGTGTAACAAGTGAAAAGTATATCTTGTAAACTCGAAATGTAACCTCGGGAAATTAAAATCATATACTTAGTAAGGTATAATTTGAAATTTAAACTTAAATAAAGCATGGTTTTTTTATGTTTTAAACTTGTTTTAGTTACACAACTAAACACACACTTACACACGTAAGGCGCCCTTCTTTTTGCTTGCTTATAAATTTTACACGCAGCATCGGATCAAACCAGAAGTCACGCTCAACAAGTCTCATGCTCACCCAATCCGACTGGAGCTGGCCATTACAGTGGCTGCATTTGGTAGGTTGGATGACGTATTAAAATCGGTTGATACTTCGCAGTGTTTGATTAGCCAAAGTGCCTTGGACACTATGATTTACGGTGCCGTGGACGCTCACACGGAAGACTGTGTACAGTATGAGAGTCGCATAAAGCGAGTTATTCTCGGCATCAAACTTATAGATCGAGTTCCGAATTCCGAAATCCGTAGATGAACTAAGGTCCAGGACCTAAGAAATCACATAACGAGGGTCAGGACCTGAACTTATATGGTCCCTGTATAACCAAAAGATTGATAGGGAGAGTCACTATAATCAAAACACGTGTTGAAGATACGGGGCTGTCCCGATGTGAAGTAACGCCTCACCCTGGAAAGGATGACAAGCTGCCTCGCTGCATTTTTGGCTATTTGGCCGTTTTGCGTTAAACGTGTTGAATGTAAATCCTGTATCTTAAGATACAGAACGTCGATTTACTTAATTTGTAGATAGATAGATAGATAGATATACACTTTATTGCTCACACACAAGAAAAAGAATAGTACATAAACAACTTAAAACTAATTTGGGCAAAGGCGGTCTTATCGCTAAGAGCGATCTCTTCCAGTCAACCTTAGAGTTAGAGGAAAGCTAATCGGAGCGGGAGACGTAGTGTGCCAAGTTTAATATAAAAATATAAAAAAAGAATTGTATAAATTAAAAAAATTAAATAAAGACACATAGTAATTTATAAATTGTTTAAAAAATAATGATATATTATACGTACGTAGATATATGTATATATAAATATACCTAAATAAACTTATACTTACTAATAACTTATACTTACTAATACACACGTTGCAGACTAGGACAGTGATAAAAGATATTTACGCACGTTGCA